CACTTGAGCCCCTGATATCAGCTCCCCCTTTCTTTCCCCTCCTTCCCCCACCTGCCCTCCCTCATGACGCCTTGATAAGTTATAGATTATTATTTCCATATCTTACATCATCATCCATTGTCCCCTCATCTACTTTTCCATTTTTTGTCTCCCTGGGAGTGAGTTCTAGGCTGATCCTTGTGATCGATTCTCCCTTTCTCCCCGCACCCTCTCCTAATCCTCCTGGTATCGCTGCTCTCCTTGTTGGCTCTGAGGGGTTTATCTATCCTGGATTCCCTGTGTTGAGGGCTCTTATCAGTAGCAGTGAACACGCTCTGGTCTAATCGATGTGTAAGGTAGAATTGAGGGCATGATAGGGGGGGGGGGGGGGAGGAAGCACCAAAGAGCTAGAGGAAAGATGTGTGTTTCACCAGTGCTATACTGCACCCTGACAGGCTCACCTCTTCCCTGTGACCCCTCATTCTTGATGTTGGAAGAATTCAGGTTCTTGCTGATATAGGACTGAGGCCCCATGTTGCCTTGCTGACTCTCAGCATCTAGAGCCCACCTGCTGTCTTTAAACCAGCAATAGACCATCATCTTCTTGTGTTTCAAATCTCTCATTTCTTCAGTGACCAGCTGGAGAGAACCCTTTACTTTAAAAGGTCTCAGGTGGAAATATTAAATTGTAAATGCTGCATTGCACATATTTTTGCAATGACAACAACAATAATAAAAAAAGTCTTGTGTGGGTAGGCCAGACACCCCTAGCTAATCGAATCTTCCAATCTTAAAATCAGCTGTGCCGTGAACAAGGCATTCCCGTGGGAGTGAAACGCATCTTGCTCATAGTCCCAGGGACCGTGCAGCAGTGTCTTCTCGAGTGCTCGAACCCTTGGAGAACGTCTTAGAAGCTTGCCGACCACCAATCACACAGCCCAGTTGCTGTTGAGCCAGTTCTGACTCGTGAAGATTCCATGCACCCCACAGAGCTGTGCTTTACAGGAAATGAATCACCAAGCCTTTCTTCCAAGCCACATCGGGCTGGGTTTCAATGTCAGTCATTTGGTCAGTAGCTGAAGGCTGAACTGTTTGTGCCATCCAGCGACTCAAGCCTATCATCGCTGCTGCTGATGTCCTTGTTAGGTGCTGTGGAGCCTGTTCTGACTCACTGCATCCCTGCACAGGACAGGAGGAAGCACTGCTCCCTCATAGACCATCTTCACAAGTGTTCTTAGGCTTGAGCCCATTGTTGCAGCCACTGTATTGAGGGTCTTCCTCTGTTTTGCTGCCCCTCTATTTTACCAAGTATGATGCCCTTTCCAGGGACTGATCTCTCCTGCTAACAAGTCCAAAGTAGGTGGGGTGAAGTCGCCATCCTTGCTTCTAAGGAACATTCTGGCTGAACTTCTTCCAAGACATTTGTTTATTCTTTTGGCAATCCATAGTACTTCCAATATACTTTGCCAGCACCATATTCAAATATATCAATTCTTCTTTCGCGTTCCTTGTGGAAGCCTACCAGAGTAGGTAAGATCCAAACAAACACATTTTGCGTTTGAAGTGGAAATTAAATATGAGCAAAAGCCCCGAAGTGAAACTCCATCATGACTTTGTTGGAGACTCTTTGTAACTGCTCTAATAATAATAATAATAAACCCCATTTTGCTGAGATCTCTCTCCTAAGTGCTTTACATAAATTCATTCATCATCCCTTACAGCAGTTCTATGACCACTTTTACAAAGAAAGAAATGCAGGCAGAGAAAGAAAATTCACTTGCTGGAGTTATCCCAATTGTGTTAGGCTGGATTCTTTAAAGAAGCGAAATCAGTGACGCTTGTATGTGTATGTATTTAAGAAGAGATTTATATCAAGAAATGGCTTATAGAGTTGTAGAAGTGGACAAATCCAGTTTGGTTCAAGTCTGTGGGTCAGATATAACCTGATGGCTTCTCTGGCATCCTGCAGCTGCAGGGCTGATGAACCAGAAGCAGGAAGACCCCAGACTGGTGGATGCTGAGCTGAAAGAATCTGAGATGGGCCAAATGAATGCAAGGTGGGAAGTCTGCTGATGGTTCCTGGGATTGCAGTCAATATAACAGGAGGCTAGCGAACCAGATACAAGATCCAAATCCAGTAGTAGATGCCAGGAAGCTTCCATACACTGTCAATTCATATTAAGAGCAGGCCACACCCTGAATGAAACCTCCCTCATTCGTATCAAGGATGTGATCAGATTAAGGAGATCTTTGCTTCACACGACTGCTGTATTATATCACATCATGGGAATGTCCTGGCCCACCCAAGCTGACATAAAACCTGACAATTACACCAATCGAGTTGCAAAGCTGAGCTTATGGCTTGAGCTCTGCATTCCTGTGCGTTTATGTTCTGAGCATTGTTGAACCCCACTGTCTAGGGCTCTGGGTGGGGAAGCAGAAAGCAGTAAAGGTCTGAGCCCAGACCAAGGGAGCACTAATGTGAACATGTGTTAACAGGTGCCAAATAATATTTTAGAATGTGCATGTGAACGTGGGGCAAGGGGGAGCAGAATTGGAGATGGCTGTGGCTGGAACAGAGCATGTGAACTGGCTGTACAATGTGACATTTAAGGGAGGTGACTATGGTCAGCCAGAATTAGCCTGGATTATAAAATCAGAGGCGAGGATGATATACCACAGTTAAAAAAAGCATGACAAAATTGCTGACTCCTGCTGCCCAATGTAGGAGAACACACAGGAGAGAAGAGTATGTTAAACTGCAAACAAGTATACAATCAGCAAGGGGGATTGCTGAAAGGAGACAAACTATAACTCCACACTTCAATACTGCTATTACGATTGCAAAGCAAAAGGCAGAGTTTGGTAGCGGTGGTAGAACTAGACAAAAGTTTTATTCGTTTTGATTAAAGAACTCCCTATAGAAGTGGAGTTCCTCTTAAGGGTTGTTCATCATCAGGCCTGAGCTATCAGACTTCTTGGGCGTGCAGTCAGTGTGGGTGCATAAGACCCTTGCACGAAGAAAACCCATGTTTGCCGTCTAATGCTCTGAGGTCACTGCCTGAATTCCCAATACGATTATATTTGAGTTTGTGTGTTAGAAGTGAAGTCTGATACAACAGTGGACCATGCACCAAGGCTTGGAACCTCCGATTTTTATCGGTCCTATCTCCACTGTCTCCCTTGGATGGGACTCCTGCTTCCTGGCACCTTGCCCCTGCCCAGCGACCACTGCCCCAAGCTGGCAATGCCACAGTGTGTTTGGCAACTGACTTGGCAGGGGTGAGCCTCTCACCCACCCCGAACCCAGTTGTTGACTGAGTCTCAGCATAGAGGTTGCCATAATTTGGGATTATTTGTCTGCCGTGAGATGCTGTGGCATATGGGAAACGGAGATGCCTGGCTTGGATTCCTGCCCCTAGCTAAAGGATTCCCATCAGTCTAGTCATTGGCAGAAGGGGAACTCCCAGGAAGAAGATTCTGGCAGCTAGTGGGTTGCCCAGTGCTGAGCCTCACTAATTCTTTTTTTGGGTTTGTTTTTATTATTATTTTTTTTTTTCACTAATTCAATCATTGGTTGGGCATGCAAATGTAGACTCACCAAGAAGCTTCAGTTTTCTCATCTGTCAGGGGGGAGGATGGTATATATGATACACACTGCAATTTAAATAAGAGTTTAGCAAAGTACTTAGAATTTAGAAACCATGTTAGCTTAAAATAGAACTGGAAGTAAGGACTGCCTGTAAGGACACGGAAGCAGTAACAAAAGAAAATATTTATCCGAAGGGCAAGGGCAGGGTTTGGTATCATGCAGAGCAGATACAATGCTTTACAAAAATCGCATAAATGTTATACAGAAAACACATAGTTTAGGGTGTTGCAAAATGAGAGTTTTCAGGAAGTGTTTTCATTTGATTTGAGGATCTCTTGCTTTAAGGCATTAGTGAAAGTGTTTCACCTCAAAATGGGGAACCTTGGACAAAAGAGAATTGGAGCTGAGGAAGACATTCGAATGTCTTATACCACGCATACTTTGAGGAATCGAGTAATTTAGTTTAAATTTCCAAAATGTAAAATGTGTGTACGTTTTCACTTTCAGGTGTCCTAGATAAGTACATATATGGCACAGCACAGAAGCAAGCACGATTTTTGTGCAGACTTTTTCGTAGTGAAAAACAGAACCTAACCTAAATGTCTATCACTGTGCAGTTGGTGATTTATGTTTTGGTCCCTACAATATAATACCATGAAACCATGGGGAAAAAATGAGTAGATCTCGATATAAAACCAGGGAACTTTAGGTGAGGAAGGAAAATGTTTAATCACATTTGCTTATAAGATATACATACAAATGAATGCCTAAACAAAGGTTTAGAAGGCTATATACCAAACCGTTAACTGAGTAACCGAGGAAGAGAATGGGTGAAGTATATGTATGCTGTGCGTGTGTACATAAATGAGACTCATGTTTCCCTATGCATTTCTGTTTTCTGGATCTACTAAGCGGAAATGGAAAGAGTCACTTGCGCGCCTCAGGTGAGGACAAAAGTTGGGGAGAGGAGGAGGGACCGAAGGCCCCTCATCCAGTGGGCCAGACTCTGGCTTTGCCAAAGGTGCGGGGAGCCCGCCCCGCGGACATGATTCTGCAGAGGGGCTGGGGCTCTGCGGGAGCGAGGCGGGAGGCGGTGCCGAGGGCGGTGCCGGCCGACTCCCGCCGCACGCTCCGCTCCCTCCATGCCCTTATAAGGAGCGCCCGGCGCTGGGCTCCGGAATCCGGTCGCAATCCCTGCGGCGCAGCCCAGATCCCAGGCCCCTCCCTTGGGAATGGGGGCGGGGCGGGGCGGGGCTTTGGCGGCGCGGAGGTGAGGGCGGAGCATCTGGAAGCAGGGCCAATAGGAGTGGCGGCCTGGGTCTTTGTAGCGCTGCCATTGGGCGCGGCGTCGTGAGGGGGCGGGGCGTCCACGAGGCTGGTTACGCGGAGGGAAGCCCCGGCTCCAGAGTCGCTGCACTGCTCCGAGTACGGCTCTGCCTTTTCTCGCCGCAGCCCACCTCCAGTTTTCTGTGGCCCGCGGTCCGCCGCCCCGCTAGCCGCCGCGATGCCGGTGTTTCATACGCGCACGATCGAGAGCATTCTGGAGCCGGTGGCGCAGCAGATCTCGCACCTGGTGATCATGCACGAGGAAGGCGAGGTGGACGGCAAAGCCATTCCTGACCTCACCGCTCCCGTGGCCGCGGTACAGGCGGCCGTCAGCAACCTGGTCCGGGTGAGTGAGCTGGGCCTGGGCGGGGCCGGGGGCGGGGCGCGGCGTGGAGGGGCACCTCTGCGAGGTCCACGTCGTTGGTCCCGGGCTCGCGGCTCCTCCGTGCGACCTGCTGTCTATGGGTCCTGGGGACAGACCACCTTGAGTTCGAATTCGGACTTCCCCGCTATGTGACCTTGACCGGGCCTCAGTTTCCTTATCTATAAAATGGGGGCAGTTATATGAATGCCTGGTGGGTGAGGTGGGATTTGTCCATCACTCAGCACCGTGTACGGCCCGCCGTGCGAGTGCAAGCAATGATAGTTGTAGAAGTCCGATCGCCCCCTCCCATCAGCAGGCTGTCGACCCCTATGTTGGGCTCAGCTTCTTTTTAGGCCTCTCCAGTCTGGTCTGTGGGCGATCGGGCTCCTGACTGATTCCCTGCTTTTCCTCCCAGGGATTCCTATGTGAGCCACGCTGTTCTTTCCAATAGTTCTGCCTCCTCACCCTCAGACGTGTCTTACCCCCTCCCCCTCCCCAGCGCTTCCTGCGTCGGACCCCTTTGTCCACTTGTCATACCAACTGCTCTGTCCCCTCTCCTTCCTCTTCTGGGCATTTTACTTCTGCTCCCACCACTGGCATTCAAACCCGGGTAATTCCTTTATACAGTAACAAATGACTTCGTCCAAGCCTTTCATTTCAGTCCCTCCGATGTAGATTTCCACCTGGTTTTACCTGCTGTCAAACGACAACAGGGTCCTTCTGGGGGCTTTCAGACTTAGCTCCTTCAGCTCCTCCTGGCAGGAAGCAAGATGGAGCTATTAGGAGAGGAGGCCTGTGGAATTTGGGATCTGTAGTCTCATTTGCAGAGCAGGAAAAGGGTGTTTCCTCCCAACTCCCAACTGTGGAAGGGTGCTCAGACCCTTTGCCCAGAGCTTATGGCTGAAAACTGAAGGATTATTGGAAGAGTTAGAGGCCACTTCTGAAATGCGAAAAGAGAGGTGCTGAGGGTCGCTATGAGCCGTAATGGCAAGGCGTGACCGGTCTCCTAACATTCCCCTGGCCAATATCGCACTTTTCTTTCCCACTGTGGGTGGGTGACTCAGACAACTGCGGCCAATGAGGAATAACCTTGGGAAAAGTTCCTACTGCTCCCCCACTGAACTGTGTCAATAGTGTGTGCAGGGCAGTTGGGGTGGGGCACTGGGTTGCTATCTGATGAGAGCGTTGTGTACATTTCAGTAGTTGAAAGCCATCCTCAGTCCGCAGGAGCCCTCTGAGTCACTGCAGTGCAGGAAACCGACCACATTTCTGCTCTTTCCCCAAAGCTCAGTGAGAATCTGATCACTGCCACAACATTGGCTTGTACATTTTAGTCTCAGTGACTTTCTCCTTACTGCCGCTGAGAGAACTGTCCCGCTTCCAGCTCGTTGACCCTCATTAGAGAAGAAACAAAACCAGAAGAGCTTTAGTAGAAGCAAGAGAGAGAGAAAAAAGAATATTTGTGAATTGCAGTTGCCCAGGATTTAAAAGGGGAAAAAAATAGCCTAGCTGGCCTTGTTTGTGAAGCATAATTGCTTTTAGCATATGGAAATATTTTTTTTCACATTTTCTTTGTATAAAATTTGTATGAAACTTAAAAAGAAAATACTGCCCTCAATCAACATGCCCAGTTCGACATTGTTCTTGTTCTTTCTCTAACTAATTTTAACTTAAACTTCAGAGAGCATTCTTATTCAGTATTGTCTAACATGGCTGTAGCCCAGGCCTCCATTTGCAACAACTGGGAAACAATGTAAAGAGACAAGGTAATAGTATCTCTTTGTGTAGTTCTTCAGGAAATAAAATCTTAAAACCACATGTTGCACTTGGAACTGAGTGTAGTCGAGGGTTTGATCTCTGGTTGGGCTATTTAGAGAAAAGTTAATTATGAGTTTCCGTGCTGTGAATTATAAGCTCTGAGTGTCTGCTGGATGGAAATAGTGTAATAAATCAGTGGTTCTCAGATTTTTAGACCTTTTTAAAAGGTCTGACTCCCACCCTGGGCTTACTGAGAAACTCTCCAAGGGTATAGCCCAGACCTGTTTTTTTTAACCAGCACCATAGGGGATTGTCATATGCACTGGTTAGGAAAACCGGGGATAGCACAGTGAAGTGAATAGAAAAGATAAATAAGGTCAGTTATAAACAGGAAAAAATGTGGTCACCTATACAAAAGAAAGACTTAAAATAGGTGTTTATGACTTAGAATGGTGGGGAGAATTGTGCTGATAAATAATAAGCCATTAATAAAAGTATTTGTGAGTGAGTCCGTTACAGATGCAGCAATACACCTGTGTATTACCGAAGAGAGGGCAAGTTGGAGAGAAAGGGAATGAAGTCATGCATGCTGTCTGAACGGTTTACTAGAAAGCATGAACAAATAACACGAACAAAGACCAGAAGGGAGAGAATGAGAATGATGTGTGAGGAAAACTGAGCATGGATTGTATTCTGGAAGGCCAGAGGACCTATCCATTGCTTGACTTTTCAATTGTATGTCTTTTTTTTGTTTTTTGGCTTCCTGTCAGGGAGTTGAACCTTGGTCTCCCCAGTGACAGGCGGGGCTACTCACCACTTCAATTGTGTGTCTTTAACATATGCTATTGAATATTGTGATGAACCAGGTACATTTCTCAAATAGATGGTGTTTGGAGAGCAGGCCTCTTTTGATATTCTTTAATCAAAATAAGCACATAGAATAGTTTCATAAATATTGAAAGAAGGAACAGGGAGGGGTATAAATTAGGATACTTCTTCAATTGGTTAGTCATTAAGAAAATGAGAACCCAGACTTTGGGTGTGTCGGGGAAAAGGAGAAGTAAATAATCAGAAATATAGTGAAGGAAGAAGTAGTAGGATGTGATAATAGAACTAGAAAGTTTTGCTATGATAAAAAATTCTGGTGGTGTTACTCTAAGGTAATGAAAGTAATTTTTGAATAAATATTCTAGAATTTATATACTCCAGGTAAGTGTTCCTCTCACTTTAGCACCTTAGTTATCTCCTTAGTCCATTATTTTTTCTTTTGGAAATTTCCTTCAGATTACTTATTACATAATACACACAACCATTTAGTCTTGGTTTCCTTTCGTCAAGAAAATTTACATTTGACCAGAGCCATTTAGCCCAACTACTTTACCATGCTTGAGTCTAAATGACTTTTGGATGCCCCAAATTTAAGTTTATATAATGAAGATGGAATTCTCAATTGTTGCTTATAGTCATTCATTTATTGAACAGGTATTTACTGAGACTCTAATGTCAAAGGAATAGGTATGATGTTAGATAAATAAGTATGATCCTGCATAAAAAAATCTTGAGTGTTAATGAGGAAAGTAGTGTACCTTGGAAGTCAGAGAGAGGTGAAATTTATTTCGAAGGGAGCTTTAGGGAAGCTTTCATGGCGGAGGCAACATTTGAATCTGGTTCTAAGGACATGGGGATTTGAACATTTAAAGATGTGGGAAGAAAGACGTGGTATGTGAAATGAAGCTAGGGCACAGAATTCTCAAGAATTTGAGGACCAAAATTTGAGTTGGACTGTATGAAGGTTTTTAGGACAGGACTCATTTGGACTTGTAATTTATTGCATATTTGTTCAACAAAAGCAGTCTGTTAATTTTATGTACATATATCACAGCTGGAGGGTCATCACTTTAAAAGCTTCTGACCACTTATTGATGTGTTTAGGAAGGAGATAGATTGGGAATATTTATTTACACATCTTTTTTTTTCCTAGTCAGGATCCTTCTTATTGTGGATTGGGTGAAGGTTTACAGAGCAGATCATCTGTTTAACATTCAGCAATTCAAACACATTTTGTTTTGTCTCATCCTTTACATCTCTCTCTCTCTTTTTAAAATAATTTTATTGGGGGCTCATACAGCTCTTATCACAATCCATACATGCATCCAGTTTTACAACTCTCTCAATGTAACATCTACTATCCCACTTTTTCCCTTTCTTTACTGTTACCATTCCTCCTCCTTTCCTAAAACCCTTCGGAACTTTGTCCTTGGTGAAATGCTGCACTTTTGATCTCAAATAGTTTATTATTCTAAAGGTGCATACCTCACTAATGTTATTGTCCCACTTACAGGCTTATTGTTTGGCTCAGAATTGAGCCGTAAGGGCGACTTCCAGATCTGAAGGGTGGCTAAGGGCCATAGTCTCGGGTTCCGCCCGTCCCCATCTAACCAATAATCATGGTCTGTTTTATGAATCTTACTTTTGTTCAACATTTTCCCCCCACTCTGTTCGGGACTTTCTGACATGACCCCTTTCAGAATGGTAGGTAGTGGTAGCTGGGCACTAGTGAGCTCTGGTCTCAGGGTCATGGAGACAGACGTTTCCCTGGTCCTTTAGCCCATTGCTCTAATTGTTCCCATTTCCATCACTTTTCTTTCTTGTGGACAAGGAGAGACCAATATTGCACCTTTGGTGGCTGCTTTTACAATCTCAGAAGAATCCTTAAAAACAACTTTGTTGAGGTACAGTTCACATATAATTCACCTATGTTAAGTGGACTATTTAATATTTTAAAATATATTCACAGAATTATATAACTGTCACACCACAACCCAATTTTTAAAAATAATTTTATTAGGGGCTCATACAGCTCTTATCACAGTCTATACATACATCAATTGTGTCCAGCCACAATCTAATTTTAGAATGTTTTTGTCCCCTCAAAAAGAAACATTAGCAATCATTTTTTTATCCACTCCCACCCACTTCCTCCTTAGCTTTGTTAAAACCTCTGTTTCTGTAGATTGGCCTATTTTGGATGTTTCAGAAATATGGAATCATATAACATGTGGCCTTTTATATCTGATTTCTCTCACTTAGCATGTTTTCAAGCTTCATTCCTTTTGTGGTGGATTCATATTTCATTGTATGGAACAAGGCCATTTTAAATACAGAATGTTTTCAGTGCAATCATAAAGAGAGGGAGAAGGTGAGGGAGGGAGGCTGGGAGGGAA